TTTAGTCTGCTGTGTGACCCTGCGACAATAACAAATGCAGATGTTATACTAGACGTTTGCTGTATTAGTCTGTAAATTCCTCTATAACAAACTACTCTAAAAAGCCACTCACTATGCAGTGACTTAACCGACACATTATTTATCGTGTGTCTAAGGGTTGGCTGGGATTGACTGATGTAAGCTACCCTTGGCTGGGAAGCTCAGCTGGGCTTCCTGGAGCATCTGCGGGTCCTCAGGGAGGTGGCTCATCTGGGCCAGGCTCAGCTGGGGCAGCTCTGCTCCACACATCTCTTATCCTCCTTGGAGCCGCAGGCAGGGCAGGCTCTTCTCATGGCGAAGGCAAAAGTTCGAGAGGGCAAACCCGGCAGCACAAGAACATTTTAAGTTTCTGCTGCATCACATCTGCTAACATCCTGTTGGCCAAACCAAGTTATTTGGCCAAACTCAAAGTCAGGACAACAGGTCACGTGGCCAAGCTTGACATTGATAGAGCAAGGAGGTGTATTCCTCTGATGGAAGGGCAGGGAGATGGTGCATATCTTTCATCAGTAAGCAACTCTACCTCACTCTCGAAAATCCCATTTAGCTTGGTCTTCATTTATTTTCCTTCCTTCCTTCCTTCCTTCCTTCCTTCCTTCCTTCCTTCCTTCCTTTTTTTTTTTTCCTTCCTTCCTTCCTTCCTTCCTTTCTTCCTTCCTTCCTTCCTTCTTTCCTTCTTTCCTTAGTGCATAGCTTCTTGCCTGAAGCATGATACTCAATAAAGTCTCAAGGGATTGAACCGTTTACCTTTCTCTTTCTTTTGTGCTGTTCTATTGTTCTGTAAAAGTTATCAACCAAGTTTTCTCTTCCCAATAGTTTCATTCTGCAGTTGACTTGACAGTGACCTTGGAGACAGTCCCTTATATTTTGGAGACATAGCACTGACTCAGAATGACAGTAGCTTCACCAGAATTAGAAAAAGGCCTCCCTGAGTTTGAATTCTAGGAATCATTTCCCTTGAGTACTCCTTGTACAGATTTTTCAGAGTAGAACCCCTGGGTGTTTTAAAATAATCTTAAAATCTCAGATGAAGAGTTTAAAGGGCGCCGTATTAACTGGCAGGTGGCATGGCGCATGCATATCTGCATGTGCATGGGGGGGGTGGTGGAAGAAAATGAGAATGAGAATGAATATGAATGAGAGAAAGTAAGACAATTGGTTTCCTTGACAACAGAATGTCCAATCAACTTTTTCTCCAACTTTAACTAAGTTAACACAATTTATCCTTTTCATTTCAAGAAAACTTAAAGAGAATGGTTTCAAATGAGGTTGTAGGGATAGAAATTGCAGTATTATCTCCACTCTTTGTTCCCACCTCTAGTGAAAAGGGAAAAAATGGAAGGTGATGGCATAATTTCTTCATACAAAGCTATCAACTTTTTCTGCTCTAGAAAAAAAGATGAGCCGTAAAATGCTGACTTCGTTTTGAATGTGTCCACTGCTGATTTAACAGCAACGTGGTAGTGGTGGAAAGTCCTGTGTGAGCTCCGTAATCTTGATGACACTCAGTATGCTCACTTTTTAAAATGAAAGAGTTGAACTAGTCTGTATTTAATGTCCTTTTCAGCCCTAAAAATTATTTTGTTACTGCTTAAAGTTTAGCAAAATGGTTTTACTGATTGGGAATGTCAAGGATGGACTATGTGCCATGAAAGAGCCTTCCTTTACAAAATGATTTGGTTTAAATTACATTCATTTTTAGACTATATTTATCATTAGAAGGGATTATCAATAGCAGATTGAGCCTCTTCAAAGCTGAAATAATAGATTGGTTCACCATTTGACGAGTGAAATCTCACATTGTTACTTCCACACAGAGGTGCACTGTGTCTTCAGATGACAGGACAGAACCGTGTGTTGAGGGAAATGTGGCCCTGAAAGCCATATATGATGAGTGTTTATGCTTATTATCTGGTTGTCATCACAGCCACTCGGTCAGAGTTTGGGTCCCTAAACTCGAAATCAGCTCCTTGCCCATTTTCCTTCCCAGCTATTGCTATGGGGAAGATGTTGTTGGAGGAGCTTTCTGCCAAGAGGGGCTAGCAACATTAGTGTTTGTTATCACCACCACCATCACCACTACCACCACCACTACTGAGAATAAAATGTCTTTACCAAATGTCTAATTATATAGCCGGCTTTGTCAGGCTGTCTGCAAATGAAACTACGCATGTTGTCTCTGCCTTTTTTGAACTTAAATATAGAGTGGATGGACTGGCATGCGCACCTACACAGTTTTTATTCATGATACTTAATTAGAACTCTTTTGAATTGTATAGTAGTATCTTTGGTGACCTAATATGAAGATAGCAAGGCTCTCTTGCTTTAGATAACCTTGAGTCAATGAATGATTACTGGTTATCTCCTTCAGTCTGAGAACGAGCACTAAGTTGGATTTATATTCCTTCCCAAGCCCTAAAAGGACAGTATCAACATAATCATCACACATTTGTGATTTCATATAAAAAGGATAGAGATTACGCCCCCTCCAAGTTGTAACTGACTTTGTAATTCAGTAGATGACAAGCCTTTATTATGCTATTACTATTAATTACTTATAAATAAAATACGCACGCAGCAGCCTAAGTTCAGCTCATTTGCAACTTCTAAAGGCTTCTATCCAAAGCCTCTTGTCTCCTTATCTCATCTGTCTTTTAAGTGATAGCTCTATAGTTGCTCTTTTATTTAGCTTCATCCCCATTTCTTCTTGCTCTTATATCACTTTAGTCGCGATTTCTAGTATGCACTTATCTCCCCTTTGTTGAACTTTATTTTCATGCTGCCTAGTGTCCATCACCTATGCCCTTCCACCTGATTAATGGCACTTGATTCCTGTGTCCCTTCATCAAGTCAGCTTTGTTGAATGATCTCATATACTCTCATTAGAACCTTAAGCTATAAGCAGGTAAGCATGTACACTATAAGTCATAAAGGGCTGATGAATATCCAGAAAAACGTAAAACTGACTCCCACTTTGGACCCTTAACCGCTCCTCCTCGGAAGCAACCTCCGTTATTAAGTTCTTAATACTCAAATGGATAATATATGGTAGCTGCTGTTCTTTGCCTTGCTTTGTTCATTCGCGATATTTGGGAAACTGTCCCATTTCGATACATTCATTCTTGCTAAATGCTATTCTTTCTTTTAAGGATTCCCCCGTAAGGATGTATCCTAATTTAAAACACAAGTTCTCAATTGATGAACTACCTTTTACTTTTATAAACAATACTGCAGTGAATATTCTTGTATATACATTATCGCTGTCTTGTATATCTGTAGGATGAATGACTAGAAATGAAATTATTAGGCCAAAGATTATCCACATTTTTATTTTGATAAATATTACTAAATTGCTCTCTTTAGGGTTTATATATTTACGCTCACATAAATAAGTGTATGAGAGCACCTGGTTCTCTCACATAATTGCCATTAAAATGTGTGGTCACAATTTTAAATCTTAACCATTTGATGGCGGCTTTAATTTGCATTTCTCTAAACATGAGCAAGTTTGAGCATCTTTTCATATGTTTAAAATCCATTGTATTTTGTTTTCTGAAGAATCCTTTGTTACTTTTCCATTGAGTTATTGGTCTTTTCCTAATTTATTTGTAGCTCTTCATATATAAAAGAAAATAGCCCTTTATATTTATACTGCAAATACTTTCTCCTTTTCATCATTTGTCTTTGACTTTATTATGTATTTTTTCCAAACACTCGTTTAAGTGTTGAATTTAATCAATTTAAATGGTGTCTACATTTCGTATCTGATTCAGAAAGGCTTTCTCCACCAAAAGTTTTTTTTTTAATGTCCATTTTTCTAATTTTTTTTTAAATTTCATTAAAAAATTTTAGATATTTGATACACCAGGAATTAATCTGAGGGTAAACGTGGGAGTATGGATCCACCCTTATATTTTCCAGACGGTGGTGTTCCAACTGGGAATTCATCCTTTTCCAACAGATTTGAAA